TTGACGGGTGAGCCCCAGATCTCGGCTTTGGCAGCCGGTGTGAGATGCTGATATCATCCTGAGCTACGTCAACGTTAATCTGACTAGCTATCTTAGTTACTAGGGAGTTAGTACATTTCTTATCTGTTAGGGGCACTCTCGATATTTCAATCGTGTCTCGACGCCCATACTGATCAAGATCATTGATAGTAGTGTTAGTTTGGTCTAGGTGACGCTCTAGTGCATTGGCCGTAGACTTCAGTACTACATTTTCTTCCTCAACTATCTTCATGCGGTTCAGAGCTCTATTTCACGTTGACTCACCCGATGAACTCATGTCTACCTGCCATCCCGCGACGCCGGCTCGGTCACGTAGCCCCAACTGCTGACTATTCTTATCAAACATCTTCTGCATTTACGACTAAAGAATCAGCTGCAATGATCTGCTTATAGAGTGCGTGTATGCGCGCGTCCCCTACGCTTTCTTTAAACGCACGTGCGCGTGCGTGTATCCGCGTGTGCGTGTGTGCATGCGTGCGTCATGTGCGCGCGCGCGTGGGGGGGGGGATTTGAGTTTGTATGTGCGTGCGTACATGCGTGCATGCGTTCGGGCGTGCGTGAGTGTGTGCCTGTATGTGCGTGTACGTGCAAGTGTACGTGAGTGCGTGAGTGAGTGCGTGTGTGTAGGCGTGCGTGCGTACGTGCGTGGATGGCATGACTACTCTCTCTTCCTCCCTCTCTCCCATACCTCTATCTCCATCTAAGTCTCTCTTCCTTCCGCTCTCCCATACCTCTATATCCATCTACGTCTCTCTTCCTCCCTTTCTCCCATACCTCCATCTCTATCTACGTCTCTCTTCCTCCCTCTCTCCCATACCTCTATCTCCGTCTACGTCTTTCTTCGTCCCTCTCTCCCATACCTCTATCTCTATCTACGTCTCTCTTCCTCCCTCTCTCCCATACCTCTATCTCTATCTACGTCTCTCTTCCTCCCTCTCTCCCATACCTCTATCTCCATCTACGTCTCTCTTCCTTCCTCTCTCCCATACCTCTATCTCCATCTACGTCTCTCTTCCTCCCTCTCTCCCATACCTCTATCTCTATCTACGTCTCTCTTCCTCCCTCTCTCCCATACCTCTATCTCTATCTACGTCTCTCTTCCTCCCTCTCTCCCATACCTCTATCTCTATCTACGTCTCTCTTCCTCCCTCTCTCCCATACCTCTATCTCTATCTACGTCTCTCTTCCTCCCTCTCTCCCATACCTCTATCTCTATCTACGTCTCTCTTCCTCCCTCTCTCCCAT